ACACTTCTGAATAACCAGTGGGTCACAGAGGAAATTAAAGAAGAAATCAGACAGTTCCTTCAGTTAAATGACAATGATAATACAACATATCAGAATCTATGGGACACAATGAAAGCAGTCTTACAAGGGAAATTCATAGCAGTGAATACCCATATTAGGAAAACAGAACGATCCCAATTAAACAACCTGATACCGAACCTCAAGCTTCTAGAAAAAGAAGAACAGACAACCCCAGAGCTCATACAAGGGAGGAAATTATAAAATAAACCATGCTCATTTGCCTTATGGCTTCACATATGAACTTGATCTCAACCATTATTAAGGGAAATGTACCATAGTTCCTTGCTGCTCATACCTCTGGTTTGCTATATCACAGTTTTGTTCATCAGATCAACTATAAAAGCAAGTAGATATATTTTCTGAAATTAAGATCTATGCTAATTTTAATTTCTATTGTCCTGCACAGATAAATTTTTAAAGACTTTTTACTTATTTTGTTAAGTAATTTGAGGACTAATATATACATTGTATTAAAGTGAAATTATTCCCCTTTTACTAAATTTCCTTTAGTCTTTTCATTTTCAGATAAACTTAAAATTTGAATTATTTGATTAATTTAAGTAATAAGTTTAGCCTAGTTAATGTGTTTCTAGAACTTTGTATAATTATCGTGCTTCTAGGAAATGCCGTAAGACTGTCATTATTGTTTTATTTTTCCGTTAAGTGTTTTTTAAAAACTTTCTTTGGTAATAATAAAAAAAGACAGTAAATGAAAATCGCTAAAGATCATGTGTTACTGTCTCTGTCCACCCTGCTGTAGTCAGTTAAGTCTCACATTTGAAAGGTGCACAGTTTCAGCCCATCATGGAAGCTGTCATGCATACCCATCTCAGCCCTTTTCCCAAAATAATGAAGGAAGGAGAAAGAAAGCAAATCTGAGGCACCACCAACCACATCCCAGACAAGGTTCCTTCCTGCCCCATTATCTTTGGGCCAACCTTTTGCAGCTACAAAAAAAAAAAAAAAAAGGGAAGGATTAGCCAAAAACATTTAGCCTCTGGCTATCACCTAAAAGAAGGAGCAAGAAGAGCAATAATCTCTCTAAAGTGATACTGAATTTTGGAGATAGTTTGGACATTACCATTGGAATGGTAAACTCCTGGACTGTGTGTTGATTGGTTTATTGTGTGTGAAGCTTATATTAGTCACCTTCTTATTGCTTGGACAAAATACTTAACACAATTTAAAGGAGAAAAGGTTAACTTTGGCTCACGACTTCAGAGGTTCAAATCCATGGTCAGCTCTGGCTTCAAGGCAGAAACATCATGGCAGAAGAGCCTACAGAGGAAATCTGCTCATGTGGCTGCCAGGAAGCAGAGGGAACCAGGAAGAGCCAAGAGAAAGAGGCCGGAGATAGTCCCCACCGTCACACCCCCTGGACCACACAGAAGTGAACTTTATCAGTCTCTCGAGCCAGTTGTGTTGATAGCCAGGATTAGCCATCACAGTAGGGGGATGAGAGAGCAGTGAAAATGACCCACCGTGTTCCAGACAAATGGCCACATTTCATCAGAGTTCTGTAAGATGGCATTACCTTACAGAAAAATTACAGTAAATCATCCCCATTTCATGGATTCAAAGTACAGATCAGACACTAAGTAAATGACCCAACGGCAAATCAGCTTTTAAGTATTCCAGCTTGGAGTCAAGGCCAACACTTTCCAGCTTCTGTACCCATAACATTCACTGCCTTAGACGTGTTTTTCTGCAGCCTCTGGCATGAAGCACATATTTCTGAATGCTAGACTGAAAATGGCCATTTCTGTCAACCACACTGGATTTGCTTATAAGCACGTAATGTGAATTAATGTTTCACATACTTTTCAAGCTTCATTATAAAGATTGAGTTACATTTTAGAAAATTCTTGGTTGCCAATTAACACACACCCAAAATAAGAAAATTATTCTTTTTATAATAATCACCTCATATTGTCTCACAATTGAAAGTAAATACAACTCGTACCTCTGCCCTTTCTCTTTTTCAAACTGGAAGTTTTGGTGTTTTTGTTTTTGTTTGAGTGGGGGGTCTGAATTTAAAGTTTGTTGTAAATTTTCATATAACATTATTTTATCCTTGTCCCCATAAATAGTTAACTAAGCATCTGAGTCTCAATATTATAAGTTCAACAATGCTTATTTTAATTAAATAAGATAAAAATCATTTAGCCATTAAAGATTCTAGAAGATAATTTTATTTACATCCCCATAGGTCACCTGCCACTATCCAAAACTAAAACTGTAACAAACTATGAAATGAAGACTTCAGAAAAATCAATTAACTTGACAAAGGTAAGAAAATGCATTTCTCGTGAGTCTAGAATCCAACGTTTGGCAATATTTTTGCACTCTTAGAGAAACAACTTTTCCTTCATTTTTCTCTCTTTGATATTTCTTTTCTGTTTAAATGGATATTTGTTATCATCATGTTATTGCTGGCAGATAAAATAGTCATGCATTTCTGATACTCCTAAGTCTTTTTATAATAATTTTAAATGTTACACTAAAACCAAGTAAAAATGTGCCTGTCAGCTAGGGTCAGAAATATCTGCATTCTACAGGAGACCAACCAAAGAAACAGTACAACTAACAAAAAATTACCTGGATGTATGAATATGGACCACATTGCATGGTTTTGTGTATTTAAATGTAGAAATTAAGATAACCTGAAGGAAAATGGCCCCCTATAGCTCATGAAACATAATAGGCACCGAGGCTTCACTCTCTTCCTTGGTCTCCTTAGGGTGAAACTGGAGAAGCCATCCGTCATGCCCTGGAAACAACCAATATGAAGACACAAACAGTGGCATCGTATTTTAGAGTAAGATACTTCGCTGTGGCATGTTGTGCTTAGGGATGTTATTGTAAATGAGTTACAGATAACACAATCTGGTAACTAGTGTCAGAGCGCTGTGCAAAAGAGAATGTTTATTGTATCCCATTTAAGTATTTGTTAGATCCAGGCTATGTAAGAATGTATTGTCAAAAAACTTGATATTTAAACTGCAAAAAAAAAATTTTTTTGTTTTTCCATAATACTCTTAATGGAAGTCTATAGCTTGATTAAAATTTATCCATGGAATCAAATGCATTCCTACTAGGATAAAATCTAAAAGAGTTATTAATTAAATGCTATGAATATGGTTTTCCTTCCCCTCCTGAACGATTTCAGGACGATTAGAAGGCACAAGGCTGAACATGCATCTCTCGTCCCTGTCTCCCTGCACATACATGAGCTGATATCTCAGCAGGACAATAGAAGCCAGTGTGGGAATGCAGTGTGGAGAAAAGTCGGGGAATTTGCTCATCACAGAACCAAGGAGACCTGCCCAGGACAGTATGGGGAAAGAAAAAGCAAGCAGCTCTTCACTTTCCTCATGCTCTAGATAATCCTTCCTTATTTTTATCCCTTCTGATAAAATCAGGTTGGCCAGCCAGTGAAAATGAAGAAGGTATCATCTAACACTGGGAGATTATCAGTCATAAAGTTGAATGTGAGGGAGGTAAAGGAAATTGGATTAAGTTTGCTATGAGTGTCAAAGAATATATTCAGTTCTCTAAGAGCTTCATGAAATACTTCTTAAGCTATCTGAATACTTTGATCAGATATTCCCCAAGCCCTCACTCATAGCAGACCATGTACACTTAGTCATCCATTAGTGGTGTCTTAATGTCTTAACCTCAGCTGCGGATACATTCCCTTCACATCAAGGAGGAACCAGAGAATCACTGAAAGTGTTTAGTGCTAGATTATTTTCTCTTTTCTGTGAGTTATCCACCTTATTGTCATAACTCTCTGCTGTTGGCATCAAACTCTGTATGTATATTTAAACCAGATTAGTTTATAAGATCATTTTCATCTTCAGGCTGAAGTGAAAAATGATAGAAGCTAATTCTACACAGCATGTAATTTTGTTTTGTTTTGGTTTGGTTTGGGGGTTTTTTTGGTAGTGGGGATCGAACTCCAGACCTTCTGCTTGCAAGGCAGGTGGCAGAACCACTGAGCTAAATCCCCTGCCCCAGCATGTAATGTTTTTAAAGCTATTTTCATTCTGCAGACAAGAATGAATATAGTACAATGCTATGCCTTGCTACCTAAGAAAATCCAGTGCCTCAATTGCAATATGCTCCTGCTCAAAAAGCCAACAGATATGTGTCACCTTTGTATCACAGTGCCTGTCAGATGTTTGTGTGACAAAGGGACCAATGACTCATGGATAAATGTAATGAAGAGGCGCTCCAAAGTGGCAGACCAGCTGTCGGGAAAGATCACATCTGATCCAAGAGGAAGGCATGCAAATTCAGTGCTTTGTCAGTTGCCCGATTTCAGTATTTTTTTGGACTGTATGATTGTAGGCTTTCACATTTCCAACACAGAAAGAGATACATTTGTCAGCATTGTCCATGTCTAAATATTATTTCACCAGTAAATTGTGATCCTGGCCCTTGAGGTACTGATTTGCTAAAATTCTACTTTCAATGAACCATGATCATCCTAATGTTTTTCTTTATTGCCCAGTCATTGACTTCTCTTTAAGGTACTGCTTATTATATGTAGTATCAAAAAATTCTCCTAAAATAAATCAAGTGAACAAGCTAAAGTAAACTAGGATATTTACAGTGAATGACAACTTGCATATTTTTATTTCTAGGCTCTAAATATTAAATTGTATTAACTTCTTTGTCCTTATTTTAAAGACGGGTGATTGGGACACTAAAGTGTGTACTTTTTATACTTTCTGTAAAGAGAGATTTGAACAAGAAAATTATAAACTGAATTAAATTGTGTGTCTAAATTTTGTAGTTCAGTAAGTTTGCCTGAAAGGATGCAATTACTCACAAATTATATCAAAACTAATTTTACCTGTTAACTAAAGTTGCCTAAAGAGTTTATAGGCAAACTTTTAATAGCCAACTCCTGTCTTATTGCTTCCACATTTCTATAAGTAAGTCTGTAACTTTTAAGATATACTGCAAGTAAGATCTGCATTAAATTAGACCTCCCTCCACTTACTGTGTTAATACGACCATTTGTTAACATCCATTTTTCAAATTTTATCACTGTAGTAAAAAGACCTGCAAGCTCATAAGTTTATGTATGCTACACCGGGGAATTTATTTTGATTGCATGTCATAGTACTCCCTGATGGATCTGTTATCTAAAATGGTGGTGGGCCAGCCTCATTTTGTCCGCTGCATCAAACCAAATAATGAGCGTCAGGCAAGAAAGTATGACAAAGAGAAGGTCCTGCTGCAGCTTCGCTCTACGGGAATTCTGGAAACAGCAAGAATTCGAAGGCTGGGATACTCACATCGGATACTTTTTGCTAACTTTATAAAACGGTATGTGGATTCCTTTAAGTTGCTATATACAGCTTACCTAAAAATTCCTCAGAAAAATTATGGGAAACCAATAGGAAAGAATTACCTTGGTGGTCAAGAAGATAGGTGTTTTGTTCATGCAAACGATCAAACAAACATTGAGAAGGCCCTCTGCGATAGCGGAAGTTTAGGGCGCAGGCAGGAAGGTCATGAGGTCCGATTCTGCACTGAGCAGCCAGAAGACCCAGGTTCGCGTCCCAGTCCCACCACTTGTTATGCAGCCTGTGAAAGCCATCTCAGCCCAGGAGGATCTTACTCCTCCAAAGGGACTTGGCAATGTCTGGAGATATTTTCGTCTGTCACCCCTAGAAGGGGAAAGTTCTCCCGGCACCTGGTGGATAAAGGCCCCAGATGCTGCTAAACATCAGTTCTACAATGAGCAGGGCGCCTCCCCACCACAAGGAATTCTCCCACCCAAATGTCAGCAGAGCTGGTGCTGAGAAACCGGCCTGTGTGGAACCTCATTTTCCTCACCTACTAAATCTGCCATGACTGCCTGATAGGATGGTCATAATGGTTAAACGAGATATTATCCCTAAAGGTGATTTACCAGATATAAAAAGACACTTAGGTCTATGTCAACTAAGAAAATCAGTTTTTAAAAGTCAGTTAAGTATAAGAAATTATTTTAACATTGGAGACTAATGTAAAATTAATTAAGCTGCATGGTACAGTATTTGGGGGAGGGATGGTAAGACGGTCTCCCTGTGTGGTTCAGGCTGGCCTCAGACTCTCAGCAATCCTCCTGCTTCAGCCTTCCAAGTGCTGGGACAACAGGTGTGTGCCACCATACCCAGTTGGCAATTCTATTATATTAATTAATATATTAATGGTAATAAAAGGTTCAATATCTTATGAGTTTAATGTTTTGGTGCCCGTGTTCCTTATAGTTATCAATTCTGTGATTTCTATTGGTCATTAAATTTAAATAAATTTCACTTTCAAATATGAACTTCCAGGGCCGGGGATTTAGCTCCTCAGTGGTTTCGCCGCCTGCTGCGCAAGCGCAAGGACCCAAGTTCGAGCCCCAGTACCAAAATAAATAAATAAATAAATAAGAATAAATAGGAACTTCCAAGTGAAACCTAGTATTAAAGAAGCCACCAGCCTTTTTCAAATTATATAAATGAATACTAAGAACAAAGCAAAGACTCATTTTGCAATTGTCCAACAAATTGTGATTTCTGACTGTGCCCCCTACCAAAGTCATGTGAGGAATTACTGGAGTAACCGAGACCTTGACTAAAGGCAGTGAGAATTATGATTCTTTCTGCTAATCTTCATATTTTCAGCATTTCCTAGAGTTTTTGGTATTTTTTCTTTAAAAAACTGAAAATGAAAAAAATAGTCATTTGAATGCTTTGAAATCAAGAAAATGCTACCATTTTTTGAGGAATATCAAAATTACACCAATATCATAGGTTTTATGTTAGAAAAATTTTATAGTAGTTTAAGACCAACTTTAAAAGTTTAAGTTTTAGAATTCGGAAATGTAACCAGCGTCTAATCATTGAGTTTACTCCCTACAGACCATGCTGAATTTTCTGTCAAAACTAATAAATAAACAACACTGGAATTTCTTATTAGCCAAAAGGTAAATTCTTCATTCTGTCCACAAAAGTGAGTAACACCAAAATACTAGATACAAAGGAGTTTTAAATTTCAAAAGTAAAATTTGACCTTATAAGTTTCATGTTTTAGGAGACAAGCAGACTCCTTGTAAGTTGCTCGAATGTTAATATCAGTATTACTAGTGGAATATTAATATAAGCATCCTTAAATTTCAGTGATTGTGAGTGTGTGTGTGTGTGTGTGTGTACATGTACATTGTGTTCAGAGCTGTGGGAGTCATAAAATTTTAAGTCCGGCTTCTGGTCAAGAATTAATGGGCCAGGGCTGGGGATTTACCTCAGTGGTGCTGCCACCTGTTTTGCAAGGGCAAGGTCCCGAGTTCGATCACCGGTACCAGAAAAGAAAAGAATTAATGGGCCAGTCAGGATTATCAGAGCACAGACATGGAAAGCCAACAAGCAACACAAGGCCATCAGTGCCAAGCCCAGGAGAATGGCACACAGGGCAAGTGTTCAGAGGAGGGAAAGAACGTCTCCCAGAGCCAAGAGAATATTGAAAGGGGGCCTCAGACAGCTCGTGGGGAAGCCAGGAAGGGACTCTCACTGTTCTCGTTGGAGTGCCAGAAACAGGCCGGAGACCTCAGCCTGGACTGGCAGAACGGACGTGAGTGAAGTGACAAAATAAAATGAGAAAATCAGTTGGGTTAAAATTAGAGCCTTCGGTGCCTGGCTAACTTAATACTCATAAAAATAACTGTGGTTTTACAATATAAACCATAAGGAAAACTAAATCTATTGTGCTGGTGATGTTGTATTTGGAAGACATTGTTTTAGAAGGTTGGAAATGAGAATAAGTTCTTGTACTGTATATATACTTCAAAGTTCTGTGCTATAATAAAATAGCAAATTACCACATAATAAATGAGGAAGAACTAGATAGAAACTATATAGAAAACACAGCATAACTGTTCTGAATAAGAAGTTCCAGAAATAAAAGGTTAAACTTTTTCTGTCTCTAATTTGAAAGCTGTCATCTAAATTGGCATAGACTCGCAGGAAGGCAGAACAATTTGCCAGGGTCCTGTGGAGGTGTAAATGAGACTTAAATAACCCTCTCTGTCCAGCCCTAGCTTTGACTCCTCAAAATTCCACTGACCTTTTGTCTATTCTGTCTTTTGCTTTGTGACAAGGATCAGTCTTAGGGGAAAATATGCAGTGTGAACTTGCTTTGCACAGGGTACTATGTTTAGTCAGCTCTCGGTGCTATAACTAATGCCTCAGATAATCAGCTTATCGTGAGAAAAGGTTTATTGTGGCTCACAGTTTTGGTGTGTCAGTCCATGGTTCCTTGGTCCCATTGCTATGGGCCTGCGGGGGCCCATCATGCTCATGTGTGAGTGAAGGGAAGAGGAAAAGGAAGGGGCTGGTGTCCCAATTCCCCCTTCAAGGTGCACCCCAGTGACCTGAAGACCTCCCCCTGGGCCCCACTTCTTAAAGACGCCACAGCCTTCTAGCAGCACCACTCCAGGGACAAGCTTTGGACACATGGGACCTTTGTGGGTATTTACAAATATCCAAACTGTAGCACCAGGTTTTTACTGTGGTTATTTCCAATGAAGTCTCACACTAAGAACCACAGAAACTGACTTCATTCCACACTTGGCACTTTGCACGGTGGTTTGGCTCCCAGGGCTTCAACACAAGCAGAACTCATGGAGGAATCGGTCCACCCTGGGCCATTCTTAGGATGCGCAAAGGTTGGCTTGCACTAAGTCTCAGTCTGCCCACCACCAGGTGCTGAGAGCCTGGACCACTGTAGGGCACTAACTGGCACTGCTTCCCATTCCAGGTACTCCGTGCTCTGCTACAAGTCGAGAGAGGAGCCCCCAGTGAGCCCGGACTCCTGTGCTGCCATTCTGGAAAAAGCCGGTCTTGACAACTGGGCTCTCGGAAAAACAAAAGTAATGTTTTGTGTCATTTTTGTGGAAAAGCTGAATGATTATATTGTGTTTACTGAGAATTACATTTTACAGTGATAGAAAATATCATGGCTTTTAAGTACAGAATCTCTGTTTTTTAAATAGGGGATGATATTTTCAAATTCACAAAGTTTCTTTTGGCAAAGGGGTCCAGGAGATCTGGGGTGGGGAGGAGTAAGTACAATTACGACGCGCCATGTGCAAGAACCTGTGACCTCAACGAATGAGGCACTGCCTGACACCCACATGAGCGGAGGAGGAGAACAAGAATGAAAATGGGGAAAGGGATTTAGGGGCATAGGGAGGGAGGTGGCGGAAGAGGAAGAACTAAAAAGAGAAACAAGCTTATTGGGCACAGGTATCCACTCCCAAGATGACTGTAGACATCAGGCACTGCCAACGTGAACAGTGGACTCTTGACTTACAGACCCGATCAGTTCCAGTGGCTGGTTGTAACTCAAGTTGGTTGTAAGTCAATACAGCTGAGATCTGGATGCTTACCTGGCTACATGATAACAAGAGGCAGATGGATCTTCCATTAACCTAATTAACCCAAGTTGTTCATATGTCAGGCCAGTCACAACTTGAGGGTCCACTGTATTAAAAAAAGAAAAAATTTTAAAAATACAAGAAAATATTTACCTTGAATATTTATCACAAACTTTTATAATGAACATAACTTTACTTCAAATGGCACTGAAAATAGACTAATGTATTTTGTCTATTTTAATCATTCACCAAACAGAGAAAAAAACTTTGGAGAATCATAGCCCTGTAAATAGTATTTCTGTTTTATTTATTAATTCTCAAATTTGTTTCTATTAATAATAAAATTTGAAGTAAAATCTTAACAGTTATTTCTAGACTATGTGTTAAGATATTGGAGTTTTTATCTTTAGTTTTGAGATCCTGTAAGGGCTCAACTTATTTAAACCCTTAGAGAATAAAGTTTAAAAGAACTATAACTGATCTTGAATATGGAAGCAAAAACCATGGCTGTTTGGAGAAAACATGCATTGGAATTTTCACCTACCCTCAAAGTATGCAAGATAGATAGAAGAAAATAAATGAGGCACCAGTGTACACTGACTGCATCTTAGGGCATACTAAATGCATCACTAGGAAGGATGAAGAAGGGACACATTAAAGTCAAGAGAGGCTCAGAGATTGGCCACTCAAGAATAACTACTGTCGGGTACCACAGTGGATGAACACAAGCTTCACATCACAGAGAAATCTATGTTAGTGTATATCAGGGCTAGGAGGATTGGAAGATTATCATAAACTCAAGGACACGACAATTCTGTAACAGTTTAAGGGATGTTTAAAAACTGTCAGTCCTAGACTGAGTGTCCCGCATATTCAGCAATACTTATTTACTTTAATATTTAACAAGGTAAAATTCTGGGCATTGAAAAAGTATGCATTTTTTTCACACCACTTTCATTTAGCTCACAAAGATGAATTTCATCAGGCTGAAATCTCATCATTTATGGTCTGAAACAGTTTTAACGTGTAAAAAGGCCCTTTGCCCCTCCAGTTCTACATGATATTTAAGTAGCATTTTCAAGCTATTTGTATTCTTCCACTTCACCTTTTCCAGCTCATTAACATGGATAAAAGTATTTAATATAAGAACATTTCTAATGCTATGCGGGGGAAGAAATGATGACCTTTTTAAACAAATTGAATTTTAAATGAATTGTCAACAGCAGCATAGAATAAATATATTAACATTTCGAGTCCTGTAGAAATTAAAACTGAGGGCCGGGGATTTAGCTCAGTGGTTCTGTGCCTGCCTCGAAAGCACAAGGACCCAAGTTCGATCCCCAGTACCAAAAAAAAAAAAAAAAAAGAAAGAAATTAAAACTGAATTCAGTCAAAATCTATAATGCTAAACTCTGCTTGTGGTGGCAGCTTCTCAAGTTCAGTGGAAAGCTAAGTGAATTCAACAGTCGGGTGAATGAGGTCTGATGACTCAGCCATGACGTTTGAATTTATGTGGCTGTCTTGATGGGTTCAATGAACTCTTTGAGGTGATTTTTATTAGGAAATTTAACCAATAAAATAAAAAAACTTTTTATGTCTTTAGGGAGCAGGGTGAAGCTAAACATTCGTCCAGGACCTCAGGCTCCGCCCTTGCTCTGGTTACTGTTGATTTTTTTTTCTTTTTTTTTTTTTTGGTACCAGGGATCGAACTCAGGACCTTGTGCTTGCGAGTCAAGTGGTGACACCACTAAGCCAAATCCCTGGCCCTGGTTACTGTTGATTTTATAATGATCCAAGTCAAACCTCTGTTCTCCACAGTGGCCTTTGGGTCTAGTGACAGTATTGTTAATTAAACCTGCCTGGGGCCTCTCTCTGCCTTACTCCCTTCACTAAGGACATCTCTGTATCCCCACTAGATAAGTACATATAATAGATGTTTCAATAACCATTTGATGAATGAACTAATAAAATTATAATTGTCTTCTATCTTATAAATAGATGAGTAAGATTTTTAAACTTGAAAATATAATGATATAAATTAGCTTCACTCAACATGTGATGCTAAAACTTTGCTAAAAGAGCTCAACATTCTTCATTCTTATTGTCCCCCTGTAACAAAATAGCAAGGTTACCTGTTGTAAGTAAGCAGTATCACTGCCATTTTCGACTTCCCTCTCCAAGAAAAGGGATTCTTTAAGCATAAAAATCTATTCTGTCATAGCTACACCTAGGCAAAAGAAGTGAAAGATGGTAATTTCCCAAATCTACAAAGATTTCTGTCTTCCATAGTGGAGCACAGGAGTGCGTCACATCTGTGTGCTATGCTTTTATTTGTATTTTGCTTTAATTCTTTTAAGGTGTTCCTTAAGTATTACCATGTGGAACAGTTAAATCTATTGCGAAAGGAAGCCATTGACAAGCTTATCTTGATTCAAGCCTGTGTCAGAGCATTCTTGGGTTCAAGAAGATACAAAAATATCCAGCAGAAGAGGAAAGAAAGTGCTATTATAATACAGTCAGGTAATAACTCAGAACATCTCACGGTGTAACAAGCATCGAGCTGGATTTAGATATGAGCCAAAATCTGCTGGTGCTTTGGTAGCTCATGTAGCTTTTGTATTTATTCCCAGCCTGTATTGATTTGATACTTTCTCTATAGTAAATCTAAACTAGATTGTCTTGGTGATTGACACTTTCAATATTTGAATGAATGTTTTTAGATCAAATAATTTAATTTTTAAATTTTCTGTTGAGGATTAATGAAACGCAATTGGCCTATTTTGCAAGTTGTGACAAGTGATTGATTTAATTATGGCTCTCAGAAATCAGTACAGTATTATAATGCATCAGATAATAAGACTTCCTACTCTGTTTCAAAGGTTACACTTGCCATAATTTTGACAACTTAATTAAATTTTATTTTGTTAAGGGGTATCCCTTTTTATTAATTCTCGGGAAATAATATCTATAACCACACTTTACTTCACAAATTTTTTATTAAAATGTATTCAGAGTCTTTGGATTTCACTTTCTGTCTTTCCTCAGGACATTAAATTTAAATAGAGTCTAGCATGGCTTGGTACAGTGTCTTTCAAAATTTCTTTACTGTAAGAACCAAGATACATGATGTACAGGTGCAAGCACCCAAGGATAAATGTGAAGGTATTGTATACCTAAAATGTACCAATAAAAGAATTTAAGCAAAAAAAAAAAATTCTTTACTGAACACATAGTAAAAACATGTTCCTTACTTGGTAACTGAATATACATGCTTACATACTACAAACAGCGTGCTCTAATATTTTCTTTTCTAGTCTATTCCACTTAATTTTAGATGCTAGATGGAGCCCACTAAGTCAATTTTGCAACCCAATGATAACGCACATCCACATTCTGAAGAACCGCAGTATGGCTAGCAGAATAGCTGACTCATGTTGAAGAGATCCATGTTCAGGCCCAGTTCTGCCAATCAGTAATGGGTTATTGGTTCCTCTTTTGGAATTTTAAGTGGTTAACGTCTCTTTTTTTTTTTTTTTTTTTTTTTGGAACTGGGGATTGAACTCAGGACCTTGCATTTGTGAGGCAGGCGGCTGAACCACTGAGCTGAATCCCCAGCCCCAATTAAATTCTCAATAAGAAATCAAAATGCAGTCTCTATAGTTTGGTATCTAATTCTTTATCTACAATCCTGAAATGCATAAAGCTCCAAAAAAAGTTTTAAATAACTTATTTGGCAGTGAACCATGTGTTATCTGAAGGGAGGTTATTTACAGACCTCTGTTCATTCCCCTTGCTTAAAACATTTGCTTTTCCTAAAGAAATATTACTAAGCTTGATTATGGCATGCTGTTCCAAATGGGGATGTTACAGCCTATTCATTTTCTCAATGTTATTTTTCTAAATCATGTTTCTAAATCTGAATTCTGAAATACATGTGGCCCCAAGGGTGGTTGGCCAGAATGTCCAAAACATACACGTAGATCATAAGGACTTCCTCTCACTAAAAGTTTAGCATAGCAAAAGAAAAGGAAAATAATTATTAGCAAACTTTAAGCAAGGTATATACCTTGTCATCAACCTTTCTAATCTCTGTCATTTTAGGTTCATTTCAGTCCTCCCCATAATTTGAAAGATACTCTGCAGTGATTCTATTCCCATAGCTTGCATCTAAAAGAGTGCTGTTGATGAATCCCATTTTTAAGATAAATTTTTTCTATCTGGTATCTTTAATTGCATTTTCCTCCTCAACATTAATGGTCAAAACCACTTCTTTCTACTCATTTTAGGTAATATTCTTTTAGTTCTTATGATTAACACTAGTTTGGTTCTTCTATCTTTCAGCTGCAAGAGGACATCTAGTCAGGAAACAAAGAAAAGAAATTAACATGAAAAACGCAACCATAGTAACCCTTCAGACTCATGATAAGGAATTTGCCTACAAGAAAAACTTTGAAAATAAAAGGTATGGTGATGTTCTTTCTTATACCATTTTGACAAAGTTTTTTTCGCTTCTGTAGGATCAGAGAATCATGGTCAGTCTGTCTCCAAACCCAGGGCCACCTTTGCTCTTACCTCATTTGGGAATCTGTTGGTGTGTCCTACCAGTGATCACACTTCCCTCCAAGAGTTTGCTTTCCACCCCCACCTTGGCTTCTACTCGGCTGCTCTCTGAAATTCTGCTCCAAATTCTGAGTGTTCCTTGTTATTAACGACTCCTGTTTCCATAGTCAAATCCTCCTCATCTAAATAAGCTCCCTGAGCTAGCTCATTCATTCTCATGGCCTTCATAGCCGATGTGCCATTGGCCCTTAAGTCATAATCATAGCTGCCCTTTCTCTCACCCTCTCTGTATATCACCAAGTGCATATTAGCAGATCCAGCTGAATTCCTTTACACAGCAGGCTTTATGCTCGGCGGTAGGGACACAGACAAATGAAACAAAATCTTTGTCCTCAGATTGTTCACAGAGTCAGGAAAAATGAATATAACACCTTCCTAGTCTAGTGGGTTAACTTTGCTGTAAAAATATGCAAAGGGTTCAGAGAGGTCAAGAAGTAGTAAGCCCTGCCTTGGTTAGCAGGGATAAGGAAAGGAAAAATACCTAGATTTTGCCCAAGTGGAGAACCTTGAATGGATCAAAACATGCAAAACATGAGTAACTGGAGGCAAAGATCAGCCCAGCCCCCACTTCCAACACTGCCTCTAACAGCAGCCGTGGGAGGTGAAAGAATACAACAGAAGCAGAGGCAGGTCCCCTCTCCCCACCCGCCCACGGCGGACACTCCCCCCAGCACTCATCCCTGTGGCGGTCCCAAGACAGCCTCCTGCCATGTCTCCCCTCACCTCACTTACAGACCCCCCTCACCTAGGCCACCTCGTTTCCGTACTTGACAAACGTGAATGTCCATCTGGCACTGGTGTTTTCAGTTCCTTCTGTATTCAGAGACCTACATATATGCCCTTTGTCTTTGCCTGTAAGGAGCCAAACGATTTTGTTTCTCCTTGTGACTGGCGGTAAAATGGTCCAGAAACCTTCATAGTGACCACATGCCTGCCTCAGGAGCAGGAGGGCAGCTGTTACCTCTAACATCTGAATGTCAGGAGTCTGCAAGAAATACGAACTGGCCACAGATAGAGGCTAGATGGACTAATTTTATTACTTCTAGACGTTACTATTTGTAGAATTTAAATTACTACTTGTCAATTTTATGAGTCAATAAGGAAGTCTGGTGCTCAGTTAGATCCTGATGCCTTCCACCTCCCTTCTGAGAACACCAGGAATTAGCTGTCAGTTTTCACAAATACCTATTAGGCCTCTACTGTTTATCAGAGCCACTTCGGGTCCCCATTGGTCTGACATGGCGAATTTGATATCTGTTGAACTACTGTCATAGGAGATGGAGTACAAAGTCACACATGGAAGAAGTAGCATAATATAAATGTTCCCACCAAAACAAGTGATAAATATTTGAGATGAGTATTTTAACCCAATTACACAATATGTACCTGACACCTCATTAACATGTATGAGTTTTGTATTTTATGTATCAGTTAAAAATAGATTTTTTTTGAAAGTACAAACAGAGAGTGAAGGGAAGTCCAGAGAAAAGCAGAGGGAGGCTGAGGCAGGAGCGTGCTGCCCATACCAGCCTCCCAAGACCTGCACTCTGGGGCCCTCAGCCCTGCAACTTCTGGCCTTCGTGGCCCCGGTCGCCCGCAGCCTGTCTCCCTTCATGGGCACTAAGTTGTCCCTGACCCGAGACCGAGAAGACCTCCACTGGGAGCTGGGGAAACCTTGAGTCCTGCACCCTCTCTAGCAGGTCTGAGGGTCTCCAGCTGCAGAACTGGAAGGTTCTCCTCAGAAGCAGCAGCATGCATGGTGGTTAGGCCTTCTGAGTCCCGTGCTAGCCTCAGGTGCAGGGTAGAGTGTCCTTGGCATGAATTCAGACAGGCCGCAGACCTGGGAACTGCATGGAGCCTTTAAAGTCTCAAGACTAATGCAATGGATGCTTTGGACTATGGCTATTTAGAGACATCATGCCTATCTTCTCTAATCGGTTGTATTTTTATTGAATGCTCTCTGAGGTGGCTGTTGTGGAATTACTCAAAGTGCTTAGCACAGTCTCTCATCAGAGCATGGGGAGTCCTGGCTCCCCACCTCATTTTCTAACTAATGCCCTGGACTCTTGTGCCTCTGGTATAAACTCGGGAATTCCATAGCAGACCTAAGAAGTGACCTGTAGAATTAGGAAGATGGAATCCCAGTCCGTTTTTCTAAGTTTGCCTCCAAGAAAGTCCTTCACACACATATTGCCAAAGTGCTTTTTGCACAGACCCCTGGGCCAAGTTGACAGTTTTGGGCCAAAGACCCCTACCCAGCAAGGAGCTGTGTTAGAGTCAGCTAGGACCTTGGACTCCGCTGCACACACTGTTCACACCCGTGTTGCTCTGGGGAGGTTTTTGTCCTTTACTAGGGAAAAAAAAAACAAAACGCAATATTGAGAAGAACTTATCTCCTTATCATCAAGTTAAGGGGAAATTATTTTGGAAGGATATTGGCAAAGTAACAACTGTAGAGCTGGGGATTTAGCTCAGCGGGTCCGCCGCCTGCTTTGCGAGTGCAAAGTCCGCGAGTTCAATCCCCGGTACCAAAACAAAAACAAAAATACAAAGTAACAACTGTAAAATTCTGCCCCGTGTATTACACAGTCTTGCACTGTATGAGGGACACTGCTTTAACTTTAATTTTGCAAGCTATTTCCTGTGGTAAATAAACACGGTGCTTGTTAAAGCACAGAACATGAGCCCAGTGAACATACTCGGCTCACTGGTTTCAAAACTAGGTTTATGTTCCACATCATCATCACTTTTTAAAATGATTTATTTTGAAGGGATTAAATTCCTAGAATTTTGATGCCCCATTAAATGAAAATATAATTCCTGACATACTAGCCTCTTTCTCAGTTTCCACTGAAACTGGTTTTTTCTTTGAGTATGGTTATCAGTAGAGAGAACATTTTGGGAAGCATTTGATTAAGTGACTTCAGAAGTTTCTAGGGCTGGGTGTAGTGGCACACTCCTGTAATCCCAGCACTCAGGAGGCTGAGGCAGGAGGATCACTGTGAGTTCAAGTCCAGCCTGAACTCACTAGCGAGATGCTATCTTGAGAAAAAGAGAAAAGTTTTTAGTTTGAGTTTTCTTTGTCCTTTTTGTTTTTCTTCAATGTTATGCTGCAGGTAGTTTATTGCCAAAAGAAGTAATAAGCTTTAGCTTATTATATATACTCAGATATAATATATCTTACACAGGGACTCTTTTGTGAAGAAACAAACAGAAAATGTGGTGTCTACTAATGAACCAGTAATTCCAGCTCCAAATAATAAAGGGAGTCTATGTATAGGGCAGACTTCTGCCTGTAGAACAGAAGGAGAAACCACTAAAGCTGTGGAGCGTAACCACAGAGGATGTCACTCTCAGGAAAAGGTGAATAGCAGGTGTGGAGAAGAGGTTAATCAAGAACTGTATCCTGTGGGGGGCTCCTGGGCAGATGCAAGCTCCAAGCAGAAGTACATCAAAGACCTGGAAGAGAACAGTAATCTAAGGACAGCGGAGAAAGAGGACACTGAGGGGCCGCATTGCTATCAGAGGGATGTAGAGGAAAGGCGATTGGAAGAACCCAGAGCAGCATGTCCAGAGAGGAAGAGCACACTGGAAAGGCCAAGCTACCCAGGGCTTTGGTCAGCTGGAAATGAGACTTCTTTGAAAAAAAGTTTGAAACCCACTCTTAGCCAAAGCTCAGTTGCTCAAAATACAAGTAGCAAGGGAAAAGAAAAGAAGACATCTGCGGATACCCAGAATGCATCCATATGCAGCCAGAAGAGAGGCCACACGAGACACGTGGACCCAGTGCTGTCAGCCCAGGGGGAGGAACACAAAGCTGCAGTGTTCATCCAGAGCAAATACCGTGCTTTGAAGCAGAGGCCGCAGTTGAGGGAGGATCAACAGTCTCCTTCCTTTAAGGGTCAAAGGGCTCTTGCGACACCAGCAGAGGTAACAAAAAATACTCACGGTGTGTATTCCTGTCCCACAAAACATGCTGGAATCTGTAATAGCAAGGTGAAGGATGGCAGTGATTCAAAAGCAACTTCAGAAAAAGAAGTGTGTGATTTGGCAGTTTTTTCAAAGCAGGTATGTAAATGAAAAAAATTTCTTTACTAGGAAAAAATCTCTGGGAGCTACCCAATAAGTGAATGTAACAAAACTGATAACTAGTATATTATTTAACCTGTGTTTATGAGACCTTTTCAGTAAAATATCTCAGGGATTCTGCTAATTAAGTGTCCATGAGCTTTTAAACCAGTTCAATTTGATAAAAATAATATATAGTATGAAAACCTCACGTAGAGACACTAGACATTGGTTTACATTGCTTGCTAAAATGCTAGAGTTGGATTATGCACAGTTTCGTGTATCTGAGATTTTGGTTATTGCTAAAATTTTTAAAGTATTCTAAACACCGTGAAGTCTATACTTTCTTCCTGGCTCAAATGTTAGTTGAAAAGACACAATTAGATGTCAAAATAAGATATATAGCCATCCTGAGGTATGTGTTTGACGAAGATGAAAGTTTTATGACAAGAAGCAGTCATGGACAACGAGGATTATAAAGAAAAGCCTCATGGAAAAAATTCCCTCCCAGAGCATACCTTATGCCACTCATAGACAGATCTCAGCTGCTTCTAGAGGGGAGCATAGAAGCAGCAGGTTTTAGGGCTTCTCACTGCTTAACATAGACCTTTGGTGAATCAGTACCACGGAGAGCTCACTGGAGCCGGCTCCTGTGAATGTCTCTTCCCATTTCTAAGATCTTAGGAAAATGACTCTATGTGTCCACCCTTTTATCCTGTGTAAAGTAAAATATTGTAACCAGATGATCTCTAAAATACGTGAATTACTAGGATAGTTGATGGTGTATAATAGAAGAAATATCAAGATAGGGTGGTTCAAAGAAGGGTTATCTAATGCCCCTGAGGCCCTGAGCCCTGCCGTCAGTCCCCAGTGTGGCTGAGCCTCAGACAAAGCACTGCAGCTCTCCTGGATCCCTGCTCTAGGACTGCGGGTGAGGCCCAGACACCTCTAGCCTCTAGCCTCTGCCTGCCTGTGCAGTTCTCCCATGGATTAATGTCCCCCTTCCTGTTCTGTTCTTTAAAAACACCTGGAAATCATGAGTTTTACAAACATACAGTCCCTCCTTTCCTTGGTGCATAAATGTGCTCAGTCTGAAGAGCAAATCAGGGATGAGAACGAGACCTGTTATGCAACTGAGACCTGGAGGAAGGTTAGGATTATCAAATCATCCACCCAGCACTGGCTAATACCACCCTGCACATAGATTCAGTGCTCCACAGGAACAAAGCAGAGGCAGAAAAGCAGGAGTCCCACACACTTCCTAGCAGGACAGCCACGTAAACAGAGCAGGGATGCAGCAAGACAGAAGGGTGGAAGGAGAGGACGCAGAGAGAGTGGTCCCAAAGTCCAGCTGAGAATACTGGAATGGGAGGAGGGAGGGTTGAGGACAAAGCTAGGCGAGAGCTTCCTCAAGACAGAAGCAGAATGGCAGTCACGGCAGTGGGGAGGGCAGAGCCCGGATGTCAGGAACCCCAGATTCGATCAGGATCAAATGCTGTGGGTAGCATAATTTGCGTGGCAGTTTTGAGTGAAAAATGTCAGGTGGGAAAGTACCGCGAAGCAGAATGTTCTGTGAAGTGCTGACTTTTATCAGACCCGGGAACAGGGTCAGGGTGGGTCCTGAAGAGAAACCTGAGCATCCCAGGGGGTGTTGGTAATGGATCAGACCCCTGGGTACCTGTGGGCCTTGCAGAATTCTTTGTATTGTTTTTATCTGACATATGACCTTCTTTTTAGATATCAAAGTTATCTGAAGAATATTTCATTCTGCAGAAAAGATTGAATGAAATGATTCTGTCACAGCAGCTGAAGCCACTTTATCTGGGTGTCTGTCCCCACAAGCCAATCAATAGACGGGTTTTCTCTCCACAGCGCTTCTCAGGTAAAAATCAGTACAGCTAGAAATTCCTAAAGGAGAAAGGAATGCCGGATGCATTATTTATTCGTTTCCCATCTGTTTTCTGTGCCAGATTGGAGGCAATTGTTTGGCCTCGGGGTGGGGGGTGGGGGGGGTCCTGTTCCATTTCTTAGAAAGAGATACACATTTTTCCAGAATGTTCTACCCACTTCCAATCTTCTCTGACACCCTTCTCTTCCTGTTTTCTTCCTTTACTTTTTCCTCCTTTCTTACATCTTACCTAGAACTTGACCTACAACATCCGAAGGGAATAAAAAGCACTGGTTTATAAGATGGGCTGCCGGAATGCAAGTTCAGTAAGTGAAAGCAAACATTTTGAGGTATTTTTGTTTCTTTGGTCAACATCGGCAGCCTAGATTAGCATATGGAAGGTGGAGATCTCTGTTAAGTTGCGCAAACCCAAATACACAAGAAGAACGTTCTTAAATCGTCCTGTAATCAGCCCGGTCGCACTGCCCCAGTTGCACTACACTGATGGGGAATTCTGTCTCAGCCATTTCCCCCCTCCACCCCAGGGTTGTGCAGGGACCCTGGGGTCCTGTAGGTCTTTGAAGGGCCAGGTCACCTGTGGCTGGCAGTCACTTTCCCAGGAAGTTCCTGCTGAGAAACTCATCTTCCCTGGCCTTCATGACGTCTTCAGATTGGGAGGCCCTGCTCGGGAAACGGGTTCTGGCGTCTCACCTCGTCCACCCACGCTCCAGCTCACCTCCTCTCTTTGGCCTAGTCACCTCCCAAGCTCTGTCACTAAGGGCCAGACAGCCTGGACCCTGCTGGCCTCTGGGAGAATCTGCATTTCTTTTCCCTCGCCTGCTCTCTGCTCTCTCACCAGACATCTGATGCCACCTCTGTGATGTGTTTGGCACTTAGCAAGGACAGGAGGAGCCACTGACCTCATGCCACTTCTGATTTCCTCCTTGCAAAAATCCCTGAGGCAAGAAAATGCTAAGATGAGCTTGGCTAATTGCCCAATATGAAAGAAAAGAAAATATTTTCCTATTTCCATCTGCTATCTCACCATGTTGTTTTCAAGACAAGAATTGTGGTGGAGATTAAAAAAAAAAAAAGCTGTACTGAAAGTGGCTTTCAGACACTTGCCACCTGCTGCTCTGCTGTGAAGAGCAGAGCATGGGCAATGAAGAGCAAGTGGTACAGGGATGCAAAGGAAGTGAGCAGGGCCCCTGCATAAGCAGCTCACTGTGTTCCAGGCTGGAAAGGGGAGCTGGAGGCGGGAGGCTGCCCCAGGAGGGAATGGAGGCTGCTGATGTGCAGGCCTGAGAAGCAGCAAATTGTGCTAGGAAATCAAAATTATTCACTTCATTCTTCAGTCTGCCATTGTTTTAGTGGACTTATTAAGAATATCAGAAATCAGCTCTCAGCTTCTTCGCAGGTTATACCTAAGACACTGCCGTGACCCTGCAGGTAGAGGGACAGTCTGTCCCTGCACGTGTGGAGAGGAACTTGTCCTGCTGCTGTGCTTGACAGTACTATAGTTATTTAAGGCAAAGTTGGCAAACATGTAATGGTCTCACAGGCCCAAGGGAATGTGCCTGAGACAGGGGCTGAAATGGCCGGAAGTCTCAGGAGGCCTGGGTGGACCTGAGCATGCCGAACCCAGGGGTAAAGGAGGGCTTGGGGAGATGCCATCAGTGCCAGGGTGCCAGCAGCAGGAGACGAGACAGAAAAAGTCACTCCTTGGGTGCCAGTGAACAGCCAAGAGTGGCTGCTGGCTGAGGAGTAGACAATGCATGCTCTCTAATGGCCAGAGCTGCTGAAGTCCCCACCCATAAGGTAACTAGATGTGGCCCCTGTCATCTGCAGGGGCAGCTCAGAAGCCTAAAAAATAGTCTGTCAGATACTGTGTTAGCCAGGTTTTTGCTGGTGTTGCCAAATACCTATACACAGCTTAGAGAAGGAAGGGTTTGTGTTGGCTCAGTTTCGGAGGTTTCCATCCACAATCAGCTGACTCCAAGACAAGAGCATCATGGCAGAAGGGTGGGCAAAGGAGAGCTGCTAACTCAGAGCCTCTGGAAGCAGAGGGACAAGAAGAGGCAAGAGAAGACAGGGCCGGGGTGAAATGGAGCCGCCACGGTCACGCACCCGTGACCCACGCAGAAATATGCTTCACCTCTCAGGCAGCTGACAAATCAAGGTGACAGCACAGATACTAAAAATGATTGAAACAACTGAGTTAAAGTAGGATTTGTTTTGAAAATAATGCTAGAAAGAAATAAGGGCTAAGAATGTGTGTCTTCTGCAGCACAATTCACAATAGCTAAGCTATGGAAGCAACCTAAGCACCCATCCACTGATGGATAAAGAAAATGTGATGTGCGTGCATATAAATGTCATATCTGGGGGGAGGGGGAGAGAGACTGTCAAAAAATATACACAGACATGGGCCGGGGATTTAGCTCAGTGGTTCTGCTGCCTCCCTTGCAAGCGCAAGGTTCCGAGTTCAATCTCTGGTACCAAAAAAAAAATATATATATATATATATACACATACTTCAACAGTTCCCCATACTAATAAAGGTCAGGAAACCAACGGCCAGCACTTTGAGCCCCTCTTGTACTTGTAGAGGCCAAAGGTAATTTGCATTAATCTCGTGATGTCTCAATATTTAGACAAGTTTTTATTTTTCTGGTGTATCCACTTTTGGCCGATTCTGTCTTAAATACTATTCATGTAGATATGAATATCACTGAGCCGTGGGAATGGAGTCCTGTCAGTGGCAGGACATAGGTGGAGCCGGGGGTCATCATGTTAGGAGGGATGAGCCAGACTCAGAAGACAGTCACATTTCTACTCCTAGTGGAATCTAAAACCTAAATAAGAGAAATGCGACGTGAAGGTAGAGAAGGGAGGCTTTTAGAGAGAGGGACAGAAGTAAGGGCAGAAGGGAAAGAGGAAAAGTGACCCAAGTAGCACACCCCGAGCACGTGGACGTGCTAAAGAACGAAGCTATCCTATGCCTCGGGGTCACTAGAAGCGACGGGGAGGAGGACCGGCTTGGGTCAACGGCCGCCTGTGAGGGGTTGGTAACCGCGCAGCGCAGCGGGCGGCCGGGCGGACGCGACCACAGACCCCAGGGAGCTGAGGGGATTCGGGAAGCACCCCGGGGCAGGGCGAAGCCTCGCCCTGGAGATCAGACCTGGGCGCGCCAGGGAGAGGGCGAACAGCCAGGAGGGGCAGCGGGAGGGCGAGGCCCGGCTGACCAGGCCGCGGAGAGCCTCAGGAGTCGGCAGGCAGCGCACTTTCAAGAGGCTGCTGTGGCAAATGGCGCTGAGGGCGAGAGAGAGGAGAGCTTCAGCATCCATAGCGTTCTCTTTTTTTACTTTTTATTTTTTAGGGTTACAATTTATTTTTTAATAAATTTTATTTTATTTTATCCCGTTCCCCCCCTCAAGCCCCTCCCCGCCCTGTGTACAGAAGCTCTGTTTCCATTTTTCCTTCTATTTTCACTTTTCTTCTTGTCCCTTCCTTCCATTCTCCCTCCCGCCTCCCACTTCCCCTTCCCATGTGAAACTTTCTTCCCATTTCCCAACATCCATTATACACCTCAGTTCTTATTTCCACTTTCAGTTTCTCACACCAGAGAAACAATGTGGTATTTACACACGTGTGTCTGATTTATTTCACTTAAGAGTATGGTCTCAAGGTGCATCCATTAAGCTATAAATGTCTGAAGCTCTTCCTTCTTTATGGCAGAGTAGTACTCCACTGTATAAAAAAAATCCCACATCTTCTTTATCCACTTGTCTGTTGATGGGCATTTGAGCTCTTTCCAAGATTTACCTATGGATGTGCATATATCGCTGTGGTATGATGCTTTTAATCCTTTGGGGAAGATCCCCAGCAGAGGGATAGCTGGGTCAAATGGGACCTCTGGTCCTAGTTCTTTGAGGCATCTCCATACTGATTTCCACAGTGCTTGCACCAGTCTGCACTCCCACCAGCAGTGGAGCAGGGTTCCTCTTTCCCCACCGCGCCGCCAGCATTTGTTGTTCATTGATTTCTTGATAGCAGCCATTCTTTCTGGGGTGAGGTGGAATCTCAGTGTTGTTTTAATTTGCATTTCATGAATGACCAGTAACATTGAACATTTTTTCATATATTTATTTGCCGTTTCTAATTCTTCATCTGAGAAGTGTCTTTTCATTTCATATGCCCATTTTTGCATTGGGTCTTTAAATTTGGGAGGTCTGATTTTTTTTTTTTTGAGTTCTTTATATATTCTAGAAAATAGTCCTTTACCTGAATAGCTGGTAAAAAAAAAAATGTTCCCACTCTGTGGGTTGTCTCTTCACTCTGTTGGTGGTTTCTCTTGCTGTGCAAAAGCTTTTTAATGAGATGAGGTCCCAGTTGTTGATTGTTTGTAGTATTTCCTGTGGGTTCTGGGTTCTGTTCATGAAGTCTTTGCCTACTCCTGTGTCCTCAAGCGTTCTACCTGTTCTCTCTTCCAGCAGATGCAGTGTTTCTGTTTTAACATTTAGATCTTTGATCCATTTCGATTTTAGGTTAGTGCGTGGTGAAAGATATGGGTCCAGTTTCAATCTTCCTATTCGTTAATAGTTACTGAATTTCCCAGATGTTATTTCCTGAAACTATTCAGAAAAAAAGGAGGAAAAACCAAAGATACAAGCTGAACAGGACAGGTTCATTTCAGAACAAACCCAAGAGGGACGGCCCAGCACTTAGTCCAGACCGGCAACTCGCTCTGGTACAGGCATGAAGGGGGCCCTGAGGGCAGTGCTCAAGGAAAGGTGCCATGGCTCTGCTAGAGACTAGAGAGGAGGCTGGAGAAATGCAAGGAGGGGTGGTCGCCTGGCCGGCACAGGGCTGAGGAATGCGGTGGGAGGTAGGGGTCCGGCCATGGTGACTGGGCCCTTAGTGCACATCTTACAGCGTAAAGCACAGAGGGGAGGAGAGGCTTACTGTGGCCTCTGGTCAGCCTGGGCCGGCAG